GCATAACGACATTTTCGTCAATGATGGACCGCATATACGACGGTCCACATGTACAACGTTGGTCCCATAAGATTAGTACCATACAGCCTAGGTGTGTAGTAGGCTATGTACTATCTAGGTTTGTCTAAGTACACTCTATGGTGTTCGCATGACAAAATCACCTAAAAATACACTTCTCAGAAAGTGTTCCCGTCATTAAGCACACGTGACTGTAATTATAAGCAGCAGAGCCAAAATTGGACCTCAGGAGCTATCAGCTCTTAGTCAGATATTCTTTTGACAGCATCCTAATTCCTGAAAAGGAATGCATATGGGAATGGTCTGATGGATATTTCTTACTTACTGTAAGCTCCTGTTTTCTATCACCTCATTCCCTTGACTTTTGTTTCTCTATTAAGTATCTAAATTAATAGAAAATGAATGCTCATCCAATTGAACTGAACCAGTAGTTTTAAATTTTTGTTAAATAATAGGAAATGAAATGTGCAAATATAGATAAAGATTAGAGGAATTATTGGGAAAAGAGCACTGGATGATGATGTATGAATATTAAAAGTCAGTTCCAGGCGTCATTTCAAGTTCTCTACCCTCATTTTCCCACTGGCCCCAATTTTCTGAACCATTCTTTTATTAAAAAACAAACAAACGTGGGTTTATCATATGAATTTTTGAAGCTGCTTTAAATCATTTTGTAACAAGAAGGGATATAAATAAATTAATTAAAATAACAGATTGTGTACAGATAGTCAGTGTACACTATAGTCCTACATAATACATAGGAAAATATTATCTACCCTTCCTGCAATGCACAGATCCACGTTTTTTAACTATATCTTTTTACCTATTTGTAAATAGTGTCTCCAAGCCAAAATGGGATCATGGGTCTTTTAAAAAGAAACTATAGATAGATTTATAGTATTGACCCTTTCTATTTGCATTTGTTACCCAGTGAAAGTCACATGTGCTACATAAAATAAACCTCAATAATTATAAGTGGTTGGGAATCAAGCCTAGTTGAATGAGTAAAAACTCTGAATTGCAGAATAGTTTAACAAAATGTTATGGAAAGTTCTTTTTTAAATAATGATACTTTCTGTAACCTATTCTAATAATGTATCCAAGTTAATAATTTATCATTAGACACGCCATATACTCTCAAAGAATTAATATTGTGATGCTTATACCACTCTGAAGGACATGCACTCTAGTTGTTTATTCTTCAGTGGGAATGGATTGGTGCTTGGAGCAAAATTTTTTATTACATGTCTAAGCATAGAAAATTTTAAATTAAACTAACTGGATGAAAATATAAATATTTTTTCTAATTTGCTCATGGAAGTTTCTTTTTTTAAAAGTTCAGGATATACATATTTTGGCCTATATTATTTTTTGCTTTGCTGTTCATTTTATAAAAATGAGTTCTTTCTCTTCTCATTTTCACCCTTTAGGTATTACTTTTTCACAAATTGATACAACAGTGCATATCTGTTGGGTCACATTGTTTGAAAAAATCACAGTAAAAATTAGCAGTCTTTTTATTTGTTTAATTTATTCAATAAAGTAAGAGAACAGAATCTCTCAGCCTTGACCTAAAAGTCCCGCCACTTCTCTTCTCCTTCCATTCTCATTCTCAGGCCATCACATTTGGTCACAGAGCTGCGGCGGCCCAGGGTTCACTGGTTCGGATCCCAGACGCGGTCCAATGCACTGCTTGCCGAGCCATGCTGTGACGGCTTCCCATATAAAGTGGAGGAAGACGGGCACGGATGTTAGCTCAGGGCCAATCTTCCTCAACAAAAAAAGGAAGATTGGCATCAGATGTTAGCTCAGGGCTGATCTTCCTCACCAAAAAAAGAGCTTTAAATGTCATCTACATGTGTCTTCCAAATTTCTATGTCCAGCCCGAGCCTACCCCCAAACCCCAGATCCTTATTCCCAATCATCTACTAGATCTCTCCTTTATTTGCATGTCTCACAGGCCTCTCTCACCCTTATCATATCAAAGCCATACCCCTAATCTTGACCCCCAGCCTCCTCTTCCTGCAGCTTCTCTATACCAGTCAACGGCAACCCCATCCTTCCAGGTGTCTAGGCCACAAACATTGCAGTCATTCTTTTGTATTCTCCCTCTCCTACTCCCTCTCCCTCTCTCTTTCTCTCTTCATCCAACAAATTAGCTAATGCTATCATCGCTACCTTCACTGTCTCCGGGATCCAAATATTTCCCGTCAGCTCACCATCCTCCTTCAGTACTCCATCATCTCTCTTCTGGATATATCGGCATCCCCTATCTGCACTCCCTGTTTCACCCCTTGCTTCCCTGGAATCTGCTGTCAACTCAGCAGCCAGAGTGATGACAATTCATGTTACTCCTCTGCTCAAAACCTCCAGTGGCTCCCCACCCACTTAGATTGAGAGCAGATGTCCTTATTGTGACCCATAAGACTCCACAACATCTGGCCTTGGCTACCTGACCCACTTCCTACCACTCGCCTCCTTCCCCTCACTCCGTTCCAACCTCACTGGCCTCCTTGCTGCTTCTGACTTAAGATCTTATTGACTTTTTCTTCCTTCTACTGGGAATGATTTTCTCCAATTCCTTTATCAACTTCAGTTCTCTGCTAAAATATCAGTTTCTCTGTGACCTGATTATCCTATTTAAATCACACTCCCACCCCACCCCCCAGCATTCTCCATCACGCTTCTTTGCTTTGTTTTTCTCCATATGATCCATGCTATGTTTTCTTTATTTGGTTAATGCCAGTCTTGCCATATTCACTGTCAGCTTCAAGGAGACAGCGATTCTTGTTTATTTGGTTTGTAGATGAATCCCAGCATCCAGTGCCTGGCGCTCAGTCAGCATTCACCAAATATTTATGTAATGAATTAAAGGAATGAGGTGGGAAAAGGCCAGAGTGAGAAGTGCAGTGGTGCTGAAGTGGAAGGTGTGTGAGGAGAAAGTGGGAAATACAGATTGAGGCCAGCAAAGCAAGTGGAGGGCTTCAGCTATAGGGACAAAAAAGGGTTTTGAGCAAGCGAGTATCTTGATCAGAGCATTCTGACAACCAGGCAGAGAAGAAATTTGATGCACATGTTGAAGGAAATAGATAGTACACAAGTTAGCAAACTGTTGCATCAAAGACCCATCAAGGATGTACCTTTCTTTTCCACCAAAACTTCAAACTAGCTTAAGGAATTTGAGGAATCACATAGCTGAACAATCCAAAAGCAAATACTGGATGGCTTCAGGCACAGCTTTACCTAGGATTCAAATGATGTCAAGAGACTCTTTCTTTCTCTCCATTTCCTGGTATTGTTTCTTCAAGTGTCAGCACAATCCTCAGGTCCCATATGGCTACAGGCCCTGTATCCTCTCTCTCAGGAGTCTCAGGGAACTTCTCACAGCTTTTCATTGCCTCTAATGTAGTCATATGCCTATTGCTCAGGCAACCATGGTAGTCTGGCAATGGAATGATCATTGGCTTAAACTAGGTTACACTTCACCCTTGAGCTGAGTTGGGGAGTAGTTGGTTCTCCAGAGGGAACTTGGGATATGACTGTTATAAGAGGGAAATGGAGCTGGTAATGGCCACCAGATGACCACTACAGAGGGGTACTGAGGGCTCGAACTTGAATCATTGCAATGGGAATGGAAGATAAAGGAAAGAAATAACAGGCATCACGGAGATGAAATCAAGTAGACCTCCTGGCTCTGAACAGGGAGAGGAAAGGACACAAAGAAGCTTGAATGCAACCCAGATCTTGAGTTTGTGTGACTAGGGTTTGGCAACGTCATTAATGAAGATTCAGGATGAAGTAGGAGGAACAGATTTACGAGAGAAGGAAAGCATTTCATTGCTTTCTCATCCCTGTTTTTATTAATAAAATTGTTTCCAGCTTCTCAGAGCTCAAGACGAATTAAGTTCTGCAAGAGGCAGGAGGCAAATTCTTCCACCAACCACTTATTCTCAAAAAACTTGTCCCAGCAGTTTTTAAGAGTCTTGTCTCTGAGCCCACGTGTGAGAGAGTCAGACTGAAAATTTATTCTCTCAGTAGTTTGAATTTCCTTTGGTTGAGCTACCAACACCTACAGAGTAGAAAACCGTTGGTGCTGAGTTCAGTCTTTTCTCATTGAACGTTTCCACATGAGTGATTTAGGATCGTAAGACCATCTTCTAATGCATTGTGGATTAGGCTTAGAGAAACATGATGCTCATCTATAGAACTCTAGTAAATGCCTCGTCAAATTATAAGCGAGAAACTTTTAATGGTTGATGGACCAGGATGCAAGAAAGGAGTGAAGGCAGGCACTGAAAGATAAAATGACATGTGCAAATGTAGTAGTCAGCACTTTTTTTTTGAGTATTTACTATCTACCAGGTACTGTTCTGAGTTCTCAATATATAACAAGTCATTTAATCACCACAGCAACACTTTGTGGTGAGTACTATTATTATCTCCATTTAACAGATGATGAAACTGAGACCCACAGCTAGTAATTGGAACCAGGACCCAAGCACAAGTAGTCTGGCTCAAGGGCCTGTCCTCTTAATAAACTGATCATATGTTCCAGAACTGCCCAAGACAGTCATAATTTATGCCTGTTGCCTTGGCATAATTATAAATATGAACTCTAGAAAGTGTCCCTGTTTGGACAATAAATTATGAACACCATTCCTCTTAACCACGATATTTTGCTTGTTCAAAGCCAAGAAAAATCTTGTCTGAACAACAGAGGTATCCAAGTGATCAGGCTGTATCTCCAGTCCTAAGAGGAGTGACAATTTGGATTGAATATGACTATTTGGTAATCATCCAATTTGCCCTAAGAATTACACTGGCTGTATGGGTTAGTGTAGGTTTGGTTTTAACCAACGAATCACTCTCTTCTCTTATGATGTTTAAGGCTCTACTTTATGCTATTGTAAAGTTGCCAATGACCATGGTTTGCCTCTTTCTGGAATGGTTTTTATTTATGCCTCACCATTTGGCCCCTCTAGGTTCCCCCGGATCTCCAGAATGAAGTGCTGATCAGCCTGTTGGAGACTGATCCGGACGTGGTGGACTATTTACTCAGAAGAAAAGCCTCCCAATCATCGTGAGTACCCGGTTGTTCCATCCGCTAGGGCCACCCTGGGGATTTCTATTTCCATTTCTAAAGAATTACAAAGGTTTATATAACTCCATGCAGGGTGACTTGAAGTGGAATTTTCGCAACTTTCTGGCAAATCTGATCGGTCCACTTAACCAGAAAATACTTCCGTCTTACCAATCCACTTATTGAATTAGAAACTGCTTTAGGGGATTTTTCTGTTTTATTTTTGTCTTTTTATAGCCCCTTGATGTCTTTTTGACTGTGTTTACTGGGGGAAAAAAGCACTAAATCACTGAGAAGAAGCTCAAGGGACTGATCATGATGCTTATCAGTGATTCTCGTTCTAGAATCTTCATAACTTTACTAGGGGCCGCTAAGGCTGTGCCTGGATGCATTGTATGTGTGTAATTTACCAGCGCGAGCAACACATTAACAAACCAAAAGACAGACCTCAGCCAAGGCCTAGGTGCACATTTGAAAATAGAAGTGTGCACCCTCTTGATTCTCCCACTCTTTGTAGCTAGCATCCTTTTGATAAAAATGCACCCTGGTCTCCACATGCACCCATGTTTGTAATGAGTAAAATGCAAGCTATGCTGTAGGCTATGGTTTGCCACCATTTTTGCCCCCAAGGGAGGAGCAATGAATTCTTGTGTTAGTCAGGTTTTATGATTAATCTCAACCATTTGCTGCAGAGGCAGAGTGTATGGCGCTGCTGAGCATTTGGCAAAGCCAGTTAAGGGAATAATAGTGCATCATTAACCAGGAGCGATGTTGCCACCATGACCCCAGACCTTAAATTTGTGACAGGAAAAGCTGTTATCCTCTCATGAAAGTATCACTTATGTTGTGCATTTAATCTACTGAATTTCAACAATTCTAAGGCACATTTTACCCCATGTTTTATCATCTCTGAAATTAAGATTAATCTCATAATCAATGGCATGTCCTAATTTAATTCATAGCATTTTCTCTTAGTCGTATATAAAATAGTGGTATGTCTTATTCAATGGTATTTTAGAAACACTGATACCGGTTAAATTGTTCCTTTATACTGATGTTGAATTTGATGTATTAATTTTCATTTAAAACTATTTTAGACATTAAAAAATTATATTCTTTAGAGAAATTTGGTGAAAAGAAATTTTGCATTGTTCAGACCCCTTCTTTCCTGGGTCATTGCATTAATAGCACTGCTAAATTCAGCTTCACTCTATTTCTTGCAGAGCAGGGAAGATTTTTTAATTAGATCATCCTTTCAAATGCACTTTTTAAAATCCATCTCTGTGCCAGTAGTTATGAGGCCCAATTCTGGTTCAAGTAAGTTGTTCTGCCCGGATTCAAGCCCCAAGAGCCACGAGTGAATAAAAATATATTCAAATTGTATAAATGGGCTGACATTTCACAGTTTTGCTTTTCATATTAGAGAATTAGGGTTGCTTAAATTTTTCCTAGATTTCTAACTGTCATCAAGGTGTAAGTTCTAATTTAAACTAACAAATGGCTTTTTTTCACAGTAGATCTTGTATAACCAGAATTTTAAGAAACTCACATATTTCTCTCCTCTGCGCAAGAAAACAGACATGGCTGCATGTCTATTTGTGAATCCCTCATTAAACTGCATTTATAACATTTCATGGGTACTCTGTGGGAGAGCTAGAAAACACACACCTAAAAAACCACTGATTTTGAGTTGCTGAATTTCTGCTTTTATAGGGCATTTTTAAATATATAAATATTGTACTTTGAAGAATGGTTGGTGGAAGTTATTTTTATGTGGTTTTCAAGTACGATCTTTGCATGTAAATACCAAGAAGTGAGCCTTCCTTTCTCTACTCTTAGGAAAAGGAGGAAGCAGGCATATTAAGCCCATCCCAAGAAGTACAGTCGTCAAGCCTCTTCTGTTCCCTATCCCTATAAGAATAAGAACTGTAAGGTCTAGGCAAGCTGACCCTAGACCAAGACCTTAGGTGAGTGTCAGGGCTTCAAGGAAAGGGAGGGGAGCTCACAGGGGCTCTGTGGATGTCAGAGACTAGCATTATCAAATAGAATACATTTGGAGAAGATTTTCTTAGTAAGGAGGAGATGGGAATGTTTGTTTTTTTTCCTTTAGGTACAGGCCAAGGATCAGCCCAGAAGAATGATAATGATGTCCTGAAGAAAAATACTTACATAAATAAATATTTAGTTTTAATGGCCTTTTGAGGCTTGAGAATCCTACCTCTCAAGCTGTAGGTAGTCTCTCCATGCCTTAAATGTGCGCTTCTCAAACTATACTGTGCATATGGATTACCAGGAAATCTTGTTAAAATGCTCTTTCTGAATCAGTAGGTCTGGGAGAGGAAGTCTGAGAATCCACATTTCTAACAAGCTCCCGAATGATGCTGTGATGCTGCTGGTCCATGATGCGCACTGAGTAGTGAAAGCTTAAAATATCAAGGCATATTTTTGACTTTAACAGCTTATAGACTTGTTGAAGGAGGCCTGCAAGGGTAAAAACAATAGGAGGCATGTTATTAAGTATGTCACAGAGTGCAAAATGATATGTGCTGGGCCATTGGTTGTCAGACTTGCCTGCCCATTCTAATCACCTGGGGAGCTTGAAGAACCACTATGTCTGGATGCCATCCCTAGAAATTCTGATTCAATTGTTCTAGGGTACAGTCTGGACATTGGGATTTTAAAAGCTCCCCCATGAGATTCCACTGAGCAGCCAAGGGTAAGAACCTCTGGCTTAGATCCTCCACATTAGATACTACATATTTACTATCACATGGAGATTCTAGGTAGGTGATTTTTGACATTAAAAAGGGCTTTTTGTGTTGACAAAGGAAGGGAACCAATACTCCAAACCATAAATCCACTTGGGGTTTGGAGAAGTGAAAGAGATGTGACTTGCATGTAGTCTCAGGGATGGCTTCTAAGAAGAGCAAGGATTTGCAGTGAACTTTGAAGACTGGAGAGGTGTCACCAGGCTTGGATGTTTGGGGAGCTTGAACCAGGGCCTGTAAATAACAGTAAATATGTTGGCTAACAACAATAAACAAACACATAGGGACAGAGATTGGATTGGTGGTTACCAGAGGGGAAGGGGGGAGGGAGGAGGGTGAAAGGGATAATTCGGTACATGTGTGTGGTGATGGGTTGTAATTAGTATTTTGGTGGTGAACATGATGTAATCTATGCAGAAATAGAAGTACAATGATGTACACCTGAAATTTTTACAATGTTATAAACCAATGTTACTGCAATAAACAAAAAACTAAAAAAAAAAAAAAAATATGTTGGCTAGCTGTGGACACAAAAAAGAGGCTGACCAGCACAGAGAGGATAAGCCCTTAAATGGCAGGCTAGGGGTGGCGCTTAAATCAGGAAGTAGTGGCAATGAATTACAGTGATGATAGATTACATTAATGATAGATTAAAGAGGTGACAAATTACGGTACCCCAAATGCCAGATGGTGCTGGCTACATTGGTATGTCAGTTATCCATCAATAGCACACACCTGTATAGCATAACGTGCTGGTTACGAGCCTCAAATCCAGAGCTAGATCATCTGAGTTCAACTTCCGGTTCCACTGCTAGTAGCTGTGTGGTCTTTGGTAAATAAATTCATCTCTCTCTGTCTCAGTTTTCTCATCTGTAAACTAAAGATAAAAAGTAGCACCTACTTTATAGAGTTGTTGTGTTATTAGAATAGTATCTGGTTTTTAATAAGTGTTAATGATTATTGTCACATTACTTCGAATTTCACCATTTTGTTTATTTACAACTACTTACCAAAGACTTTGGCATCACCAGATTCTATCTTGCTATCCACGAGATAGCAATCTATGAAGGCAATATGGCACAAGAGAGAACCCATCCATGTTGAGTTGTGGCAGTGTCTAAAGGCAAAGCCCACCAGTACGTGCCTGATCTAATTGGCATCAGGATGACGATGTTGGTTCTGGAACAGAGAGAGGGGTGAGAGTGAAAAGGCACTGAAGTGGGAACACAGCCTGCTCGCACTAGGCCAGGCAGATTTGGGGAGGGACTGGAGGTGATTGCATGTTTGCAGAGAATGAGGGAGAGGGCCTGGATGAGCCGTGGCACAATGGGAATGGACAGAATTCTTGTTTTGAAGACTTTATTGAGTGAAAACTCAGCTAAAAGGTTGAGAGTTAGGCTATAAAAGGTAAGAATTCAAAGGATTAGCAGGAAGACGACAGAGTGGGAAGCATCAGTAGCTTCTAAAATGAATACCTTCAGTGCGGTGACACATGATCTCCCTCATTATTCTCTTCTGACCCTTTGGGTTTTTTCCTGAAGCTTATGTTCTTTACCGTCAGTTCACATATCTAAATAAAGCTTTTGATTTCTGCCCTCCACGTGGAAACTGCAAAAGATTTTATTTGGAATGGAAAAGTAAATTTTCAGAAGAGTGTAGAACCAAGAATAGGAACATATTTATTATAATTTCTGTTTTGAAAGATCAAACATTTAGTGATATTTGGGAATTTGATGTTTTGGTTTGAGTTTTTCTCTTCTTTATGCAACAATGGAATTAGGGGAGTGAAAGGAGGGTTCATTATTTTTTCCTGTGCTTGTCTACTTACATTTTTGGCTTCAACCAAAATGGAATGCCAAAGGGAGATTAGAAGAAACATATTAGTAACAATGCAAGACTTCGAGGTTTTTAATTGCTTGTCTGCTATATTTATTAGAATTATATGCTTTTCTTCAGAGATACTTAAGAGAGATCCCCCTCCTTTGATTTAGGGGTGTAAGGAAATAGGGGATGAGAATGGAAGGTTAATCAAGATGACAAGGTACAGAGGTGTCATAGCGGGGCTGGGGCTAGGGCAAGGAGAATGAGGTGCTCATCTAGGTGCAAAATTTTAAGAAAAGCTCCGTCATCAAAATGAACAATATTGAAATGTAATATTTTTATAAATCAAAATTTACGCCAAAAATCTGTGATGAACAGAACGTCAAAAATCTTTTAAAAGACTAATGCCGC